CCCCCCGGCCTCTGTGGCACACACAAGGACCAGGCTGCTGGGAAGGCCCCGCGCCTCCTGACCGCGCCTTCCCCAGGGTCCCGCAGGTGGCACGATGCCCCCTTGGCACATCCCGCCCTCCCCCCATCAGGGGTCTGCAGGGTTTTCTTCCAAGGCTCGCTCTTTTTCCGCAGCCCATCTTCCTTCCTCCTCTGCCTTTCCCTGAGTCACTGGACCAGGAGTTTCTCCTCTCCGCCAGGCTGGGCTGGAAGTTCCCCACCGGCAGGGTGGCTGGCTGCCGGGAGCAGGGTGCATCCATGTGGAGAGAGCAGGGCTCTGCTGCTGGAAGGCCCCGGGCACAGTGGGCAGCAGCCCAGTGCCAGCAGGGAGGTAGGAGGGTTGCCAGCCGGTCTGGATAACAGCAAGGGGACAGCAGGTCAGCAGTGGTGGAAGAGACTGCAAGAAAAAAATCTGCCTCACCAGTCACTAAAGATCATTGGCTCCGTTACAGTCTCCAGAGGCCACAGGCCTAACTGGGAGTGTGGCGATACAGAGAAAAGATTGCCAACTGGGTCAGAGCATTCCTTTAAAGCCATTGTGGCAGGTGAACTGCCTGCCTCAGCCAAGTGAAATGTGTTGCAGGGCCTCAGGTGGCAAACCAGAGGGTGAGAGCACAGGGAGCCAGATAGAAAGAAGGGCTGAAGGCCATTGGGAAAGCAGTGTGGATGAGCCAGGACCTGAGAGCAGGGGAGGAGGGGTCAGGACTGAAAGATGCTGGCAAAGCCATGTAGCATGCTCAGGACTGGGCCCAGGGATTAGAATTGTGGTGCATTAGGACAGCTGTGCATCAGAAGCCCAGATCTGCTGGGGCAAGGGGATGCAGGTCAGGATTCAGAGTACCAGCTGGGCTGGGCACACTGCCCCATGACTGGAACTTAAGGGGGTATATGGGTCATGATTTAAATGGGTCCTCAGAGCTGTGGGGCACATGTAAGGGTGGAATAGGACAGCAGAAGGTAGATTAAGATTCTGGGGCATTGGTGGAGAAATACTGAGACCCAAAGACTGAAATAGCAGGACAGGGGGGAGTGCTGCTGGGCAGGAGCGAGAGGCAGTCAAAGCTGTGTGAAGAGCCCATGCCTTGAACAGCAAAGGACAATGGAGATCAGGACAGGGGACAGATGCAGAGTTGCACAGAGAACACAGGACAGGAAGGGACAGATGTCAGGGCTGCAGGTCAGGAATGAGGGGCTTTCCTAGAGCTGGGTGTGAGGGTCCAGAACTGGAATAAGTTGGGACCGTGGTGCCTCAGCAGAAATGTGGGGGGGGATGACTTCCTATAGTCAGGCTGAAGGGGGACTGGAAGAGTTGTCTGTATGGACCCACAACTGGAATAAAAGGGAGGTGGGAGGATACAAGTTTCAACTGAGGGAAGGGGATTAGCAGAGATTTGCAAGGGGAGTCCAAGCCTGGGATAAGAGACAGAGCCCTAAATTAAGACAGAGGTGCATCTCCAGAGAATTCTGGGGACTGCAGGCTTGACATCTGGGAGGAGAAGGTTTAAAGGTCTGAATTCTAGGTGTTTTTGAAGGTGCTTTCTAGGTCTTTGTGCAAAAGAGTCCATAGCTGGTAGAATAAAGTGGGGGCTGTAGGTCAGGACTGAGGCATGTGGAGAGCCCAGGACAGCAGGGCTTGGAGAAGGAGCAGCTCAGGACTGAGGTATGTCAGCAGAACTGGTAAGGGTGGCAAGAAGACAGTACTGGAACTGAAGGAGGCTGCAGGTCAGGATTGCAGTGAATCAGGACATCCAACTCTCCAGAGCAGGGATTCTCAACCAGAATGCTGTGGCATCCTGGGGTGCCTTAAGATCCTTTCAAGGGTACTAGTGGATGCCACACAATGTTAGCACTGTAAGGTTTGCAAACATGATGCACAAGATAAACCCAGGGATTTCAAATAGGAATCTGGTGTTAAAAATATTCTGACCTGTTGTGGTCTTTCTGAGTTCTTTGCAATGAAAGAATTGCTCTAGTATTTTTCTTTAGTTAAAAAACAAGTGGAAACTAAGAACAGGTATTTTCTGAATGGTGCCTCAAGTGTAAAAAGGTTAAGAACAGTGCTCCAGAAGTCACAGAGATAGCCCCATACAGCTTAAATCAGAATGATTTATTTCTGTGTGTGAACAACTTGGAGAATTGGGGAAATGGAAGTATTTTAAGTAGCAATTCTCTCTCTTCTGCAGTGAATCTGAGAGCTGAATCTCCAAGGGAGCCTGGCAAAAGAATCATCCCTTCCCACTTGTTTGCTAGATATCCCTTGCATGAGAAGAGGGCTTAAAGAAGCAGAGTGAACCATCAGAGCAACTGCAAGAGCACTGTCTCGTGAGTGCTTGGTGGGCTACAAAAAGAAAAGATTCTCATCTCTTCACTGTGCTGTTCAGTGCTGACTGCCCATTTTCAGCTGTGGCAGACCAGGGGGCAGGACAAGGACATTAACTCTCTAAGCCTGTTGTGTTTGATGAGTGGGGACCGTGCACTGCATGGATGCCAAGCACAACCTTTACCTTAGGACACTCATCCTACTCCCACCATATTCTCTCTCACCTGTTAGCCCCTAAACCCCTGTAACACCAGAGCTGCAGGAGCCAACCATCTGCCACATATCTGCATCCCATAAAAAATACCTGGATAGATTTGAGTCCCAGAGATACCTGCTTGCTTAGTTTATGGCCCTTGCTCACCCCAGAACAAAGTGGAACCAAGTGCATGTCTCACTGAGAGAGGAGCACGTGGGTGGAGCATGAGGAAGGAACATCCATTCTTGAGAGAGGAACAGGGGAAGGGAATAAAATAGGAGAATAAGGAAACAAGGGACAGTACCAAGTGACAGTAAGACAGGGAGTGGGGGGGAAACAAAGGAAAAAAAGAAAAAGTGGAAGGCATGTCCAAAGAGTGAAAAAGCAGGTAACAAAGAAGCAAAAGAGGGAAGAAGAGATTTTGAAGTGACAGAAAAGGAGGGATAGAAAGTAAAAGAGAGCTCTGCCCTTTCTGCCCTGCCCTTCCCTCCCCCCCCATGGCAATGTCTCTCAGAGGCCCCTTCTGTGCCTACTCCTTGTTTCCCACTAGAAGCAGATGAGGTGGGAAGTGGTGGATCCTTGGTGGACTCCCTGTGCATGATCCTCCTGCCTTGTCCTCAGCTTCCAAAGTGGGAGACATGATGCAGCGTGGTGGGGGCAGCAGCATGGGGGACCCATCTGAGTCCACCCTGCACAACAACTCGCTGTGGTGGCTGGCATGTGGGATGCTAGCCCTGTTGGCCAACTCCTGGATCATTCTGAGCATCACAGCTAAGCAGCAGAAGCACAAGCCCTTGGAATTGCTGCTCTGCTTCCTTGCTGGAACTCACATCCTCATGGCGGCTGTGCCCCTCACCACCTACGCTGTGGTGCAGCTGCGGCGTGAGTCCTCTGACTATGACTGGAACGAGAGTATCTGCAAGGTTTTTGTCTCCACATACTACACCCTGGCTCTGGCCACCTGCTTCACCGTTGCCTCCTTGTCCTACCACCGTATGTGGATGGTGAGGTGGCCAGTCAACTATCGACTAAGCAATGCCAAGAAGCAGGCTTTGCACGCGGTGATGGGCATCTGGATGGTGTCGTTCATCCTTTCCACCTTGCCCTCCATTGGCTGGCACAACAACGGTGAACGTTATTATGCCAGGGGCTGCCAGTTCATTGTCAGCAAGATTGGGCTGGGCTTTGGTGTCTGCTTCAGCCTCCTGCTCCTGGGAGGAATCGTCATGGGTTTGGTGTGTGTGGGCATCACCTTTTACCAGACCCTGTGGGCACATCGAAGACGCCAGCGGTGCCATCACCAACGGGCAGAGGAAGCCACTGCTTCCTGCTCTTCCTCAGGACACAATACATTCAATGTGCCAGCCATTGTGGTTGAGGACGTGAGGGGCAAGAGGAGGTCCTCCCTGGATGGCTCTGAATCAGCCAAGACCTCCATGCAAATGACCAACCTCATTAGTGCAATTGTCTTTCTCTATGACACACTCACCGGGGTACCCATCTTGGTAAGGAGTGGCCTGTCCCTTCGCCACATCTGCTTCCCAATCCCTTTATCAAGAAGCAGTGTGGGAGGGGCAAGACAGGATGGAGAATGCAGTCAACAAGTCCCCAGATCTGTACAGGTACTCAGCCAGCCTCCCCATCCTGCCAACAGCACTCTTTGGAGAGCTGTAGTGCTTGTCTGTACTGTAGTACCAGCATATCCTGGGAAGATTGGACTGAGCATGCCTTGTCCACCCAAGTCCACTGACAGTCCACAGCTGGAAATTCACCAGCAAGGCTGCTCAAGGCTCCTCCTAGCTCTTTAGCAGGCCTGAGTACAGGTCCTTGGAGGCCAGAGAAGCCTCACTGGAAAACCTCTGGGTTTGCAGTGCATTACTGGACTTTGGTGGGCAAGACATGATTAGGATGTGCTGAGCCCCATCCTCCCTGGGTCTGACTCTTTGATAGGATACAGACAAGCCTTTAGGCAGATACTCAAGAAGGATCCTTCTGGTATGTCAGAAGAAGCTGGAGAGGAAATGGGGAAACCTCTTGGTTTCCTGTAGCTCCACATGCAGTTTGTTATATACTGTATTCACTCAAATCCAAGATGCAGTTTTCTTCCCTGTTCAGCACTGGGGAAAAGAAACCTCATCTGAGACTCAAGTATGGTCTGAGGCAGGTAGTTTCTATGCCCTCAGCTTCACCTCTGACCCTAAACCAGAGGAGACCATGTGGTGGGGGTAGAGAGTGCAGGGAGATTGTGTAGTACAGGGGAGGTAGAAGTGTGGGGAAACTGTGGGGTAGGAGAGAGATGATGCAGTGGAGAGAGAGCGGGGAGTGTGAGGGGTCTGTGCAATGGGGGAGGTGAATGTAGGGGAGATCATGTGGTGTGTGCCCCAGGAGAAGTGTAGGGGAGACCATGCAGTAGTAGGAGAACTGCTGTGGTTCCAGCTCTGGTTCCAATTCTGGCTCCAGCTCTCCTGCCTGGCTGGGGCTGGGGCTGAAGCTGCCGTGTGCTTTGTGTTCCAGGCTGATGCCAGAGCTAAAGCCACCACATACGGAGTAAGCAGTGGCAGGAAGCAGGGGGAACAGGCTGGGGCGGGGGGTGGGGTGGAGCACAGACTCAGGGGGATACAAGTAGCAAGGGGGACAGGTAGACTCATAGGGCAGAGGAACTGGGTGGTGGTGGGGGGCTGGCTGGCTGCCTGCCCCCATGCTGCTAGTTGCCATGCCACAGTGGTGGGAAAGGCAAATTTATGACAGCCCTCCGATAATTAGATTCTATACAGGAAAAGTTGTAATAAATTTATAATTTTCCATGTATAGCATCTAATTATTGGTGGCATTTTTAAATTCAAACTCATCTTGTTTCAGATAAATAAGGTAATTTAACCTAACCTCCTTCTTCCCTCTCTCCACCCAACCAAAAGTTTTCTGTATTTCACAAGAAGTTTCTTACCTTGCAGCAGGGATATTTTTGCCTTATTCTCAAAATAGCCAAACTGTTTTTTCTCAGACTTAAAAAAAGAATCTGGAAAATGCAAGCCCCTATGGCTAAAACAACTGGGCTAGAAGTAAGAACAGGGGATTGGGCTAGAAACTATCCTAGTGCCTAGAAGATGACTTTCACAGGTTAAAACAATGACATGTGTCTGTTATTTTTTTCTGTGTAACAAGACACACAAGGTCAAAAAGTTGTTGGTTTTTTTAATATTTTACTGCTATTTGTATTTTAGCTCTTGTCTATCCAGGTCTCTGGACAATGGAAGTAGTGGTAAAGTTCATAACACTGAAAAGAAGCAATTAAGAAAAGATACCTTTAGTCACACGTTACCCTGTTTCAAAATCTGTGTTCTTGGTTACACCTATTTAATTCCAGTGCATAATTAGTATTGAGAGAAAGGACGTCTGTTACAGATCTTCCATTATGGCGTGAGAGTTCAGAGCAAGTGCTCTCTGACCTGCAAAACCATTTAGTCAGTCCAGGACGGCCCAGACTCAACATCCCTGATATTTGGAAAATAAAATATAACCAGACTTTTAAAGAAAAAAATAAAGGCACAAGACCAAATATTTTGAAAATTTGTTGCTAGTTGGTCATCTTTTGACTGGAGAACTAATTCTCATTCTCTCTCTCCTTCCCTTTTCACCCATCCTTTGTGTTTGTTTCCGTCTTTTGTGTTCACTCTTTC